TTTATATATATATATATATGTGTGTGTGTGTGTGTGTGTGTGTGTGTGTGTGTGTGTGTGTGTGTATGTATGTATGTGTGTATATATGTATGTATATATGTATGTATGTATGTATGTATGTATATATATGTATGTATGTATATATATGAATATAATTTTTTATTTAAAAAATTTAAAAAAGACTTCTACAGGCAATAAAAAATTTAAAAATTTTGTCCCAACGTTTCGCCGGTTAAGGCTTCTTCAGGGGAATGTTTTAACTGGTCACGTCCATTGAATATATACTAAAAGCTAGACTAAATTTAAATAAACAGGTGGAATGTGGGCAATAACGAGCTAAAAATGTTGTTATTCATGTGTATCATGCAAAATACAGATTAAATGTTAATTGTTCTACCAATACATCCTGCTCGTTTCTTGATTTCAAAAGCCTCAATGCACTTACGCTCATCATCATTGTTTATGTTGGAATGTAGGATTCTCAAAAAAAAAAAAAGAAGCCCATCCTTCGTAAACCCCGAGCCCAAAGACTTGGCAAAACTCTGCTTATTATCAAGAGCTAATTTACAACTAGCTACAGATCGACTACATCGTGACAACGCCCCAGAAGATGCCGTTAACGAATTTAAAGGAGGTATGTCTCGTATTATTAATCAATGTGCCAAATCAGGTCCTAAGATATTAAGACTTAAGAAAATGCCTTATGAATCCCCACTTATGAATTTGTGGAAAAGCCAAGAAATGTAATCTTCACTGACATTTTACCAGTACATCTCATAAACTTGCTGCCGAACAATTGAAACATTTTGAGCAGAAAAGCAAACATGTAGATGTTTCAATTTCTGGTGCAAGAAGAACAAGAATGACTACAAAACAGAAACATAATTAACATGCTGTTAGATTGTTGCGGATACTTATCAAGACAAGCTCTAGCGTTTCACGGTGGTGATAATGACGAGGATGGAAACTTCAGACAACTGGTCAACCTTCTTTCACACTGGATTCCATTTCTTAGAAACTGGGTGGCTAGTGTCCGTTCTCGCAAGTACCATACTACGTACATGAGTTCTCAATCACAAAATGAGTTCATAACATCCTGGGGCATGAAACACACAAGATACTTAAAGAACAAATATTTTCATTGAATATATATGCTGTGATGGCTGATACAACGCCTGATGTCAGTCATCTGGATCAAATCTCCTTAACTGATTAACTGGCAATATGCCCGCATACGCCCTCAACGACACGTCAATATCATTGGCCAATAATAAGAGATATGCATTTTGTGTTGCCTAGCAACGGACGGGCACGTATAAAAGCACCCGATTCCGCTCTTTCAAATGACACCTCGTGCAAGCTTGTGCAATTTGTATTGACCAAGTTACGAGCGTTTAAAAAAATTTTTTTGCAAAAAGTTTTTGATTATGGCTGAAGCACTTCATATGTTTGAGAGTAGTGAAGACAAAAGCGATCTTGACAGGTTTTTAGTCGACGAAACGGTTGAAGAAACACAGCCTATCGCAGCTGGAACATTGGCGGTTTCATGGCGAGACATAGCTGGCGACTCGAACGAAGAGGAAGAAGATTTTCACAGTTTTTCGGACATCGAAGTTCAAGAACTACAGCAACAGTGGAAGTGAGATAAGTGTAGCGATGGTTTCAATGATATTTTTGAATGGAATGATAATTTAAGTAGTGTTAGTATTGAAGACTTTACTTCCGACTTTGGTCCTCGACATGGGTTGGGTTTAGACGCTTCCCCTAAGGATTTTTTCGACTTGTTTTTTGGCGATCAGTTTTTCGGTCATATTGTGCATGCTACAATTTTGTATGAGCGTTTAAATCACAACGATCAAAATTTTACAACCGACCGCGACAAAATGTCTGCATTTTTTGGCCTCAACATTTTGATGGGAATAAACCAACTACCAAAAATCTCACTTGATTGGGATTCAGATTTGTTTTTAGGAAATACCAGCTTCAAAACTACAATTCCTTTGAAACGTTTTTGGATTTTAAATAGGTATTTTCATATTTCGGACCTGCGGCAAGAAAACAAGACGGATAAACTTGCAAAAATTCGGCCCCTTATTTCAAAGCTCAAAAATGCTTTTGAAAATGTTTATGTGCCTGGAAAAATATTTCCATTGATGAAGTTTGATTAAATTTAATGGTCGTTTATCCTTCAAGCAATATATGTCCAAAAAAACGAACAAATTTAGTATTAAAGTTTGGATGTTAGCCGATTCTGAAACTTATTTCGTGCTGCACTTTCAAGTTTACTTAGGTAAACAACAAAATGCCGAAAATGCCAATGAAAATGATGCGGAAAATTTGCGCGTAAAACCTGCCATCATTTCTTTTTACAATAAATTTATGAATGGCATAGATGTAAACGACCAATATAGGAGCTACTACCCTGTAGGAGCTCAATCTAAAAAATGGCGGAAATATTTGGCTTGGTTTTTCGTGAATATTTCAATTGTAAACAGTTTTATTTTGCAAAACTTGCAGACTGATCGACGCCATCGCCTAAAACATTTAGATTTCCATCTTGCTTTTTGGCAAGGCAACTTATTTCGACTTATAACGGCTACAAAAAGATTTCAAGTGCTCCAAGTAGCCATAAAAAGGATCTTCCAGTGGGTAGAAATGTTAAGGGCCATAGCTTAGTATTGTCTTCAGGGCGAAAATGAGTGTGTGTGATGTGAGCTGGAAGGAAGCGAGCGACAGGAAGAACGTTTGAAAGTAAATATAAGTGTGCTGAGTGTAATGTAAATCTTTGTAGAGAGCGATCTTGTTTTATGGAATGGCATCAATAAAGTTAGTATTAGACAAAACCTTTTTCATGTTTGCATGTTTTTTGTATTATTAAATAGTGTTTTGTCAGTGCTGAAAGCAGCAAGGCCTGAGGGTGTCGACAATATATTTCACGAGAAATTTCCCCCAAATTCCTACTTGTTCAGTTTCGTTTTATAGTATATAAATTTCAGATATTTTATCAATAAAATGAACGAAAAACCAACCGTTCAAAGTGAGTGATGAAGGGTAAATTTTGCTTGGAAACAGTATTGTTATTCATGGAACAAATTTACTTTATAATTTACAAACTTTACAGGACAGCAAGTCAAAAATATTCATCACAAAGTTTCAAATTTTTTGAGTAATACAAGTCCATTCGCTTTAAAATTTTAAATCCTGGCTTTCGAAGTAATATGTGAAACACACATTAAAAATAAAATAAATAAAATATCAAAATGTGTAGTATTTCAAGCATTTAAATATTCATAGTCCTAATTATGTAACAGAATTCTTCAGAAATTAATCAGGTGAAAACTATAAACATATGTCATTATAAAACTATTTGTGATAATTTAAACATATAAAATGAAACCTTATTTATCAGTCTAACCCCCTGCAAAATTTTAAGATTTTTTATTAGGTTGCTTTTAAGTTACAGCCATTTTGTAAGTGCAATTGACAGGAACTGAAATTGGTCATTTTGTTTGCCAGTTAGTGGGGTAGAAACTTTGCTACAGTCTGCCACTTAATGAGTTAATAATTCACCACATTGATAAACAGATTCACGAACGATTTTGAAAATTTCTGAAATTAATGATAAAACAGGTGATGGTTTTACTGCAAAAGTCATCAAGTTTGTTGAAAGATTTACAGCTTTCAACTGCTGAAGTACGATTTCAGTGCTACGATATGACCGCGTCGATGTCTGGTGCTTATAACGGAGTTGACGCTAAGTTGGGTGAGCGTCTAGGGCGGACAATTCCCTATATTATGTGTCTTGGTCGTAAGACAAATCTTTGCGTTTAACATTCCTGTAAAGCCTTGTTGATGATAGAAGAGTTCTTCACTACATTGCAAGATTTGTATAATTTTCTGACAAGGAGCACCAGTCGGTTCGGTAAGCTTAAAGGAAACATTGACACATTACAAGAGGCACTCTTCATAAAGAATCTCTCCAAAACATGTTGGATAGGTAGAGCTGAGTCTATTAGAGCAGTTTTTTGGGTCGGCACACTTGATGAGGTAAAAAATTTTGAAGATAGTGATCGTGATGCTATAAAAACTGCTTCGAATCTTTCGGACCGGATAAAGTCATTGAGTTTTATTTAAGCATGCTCTTCATGAAGAACATAATGTACAAAACAAAAATCGTTGTTCTTGAGGTTCAAGAAATTGATAAAGATATCCTTGCCAGCTCAGATGTTATGCACCAAACGGGAGATGCTATGATTCGTATCCGGGAAGACGATCTTGGCCTGGATGGCATTGTCACAGCAGCTGTAGAGAAGTGCAACTCATTTGGCATTGATGCTGAGTACGAGTTTTCAAAGATGCATCGTCCACGAAGACCACCCAGACACATTGATGAGAACACAGACAATGCTAACATACCGTTATTCAACCAAGAAATATTCAAAGTACTCGACCTCCTCGTTTCGGATATAGATGATACTAACAATTATTTTTCTAACATATTCCTTCCACAAAAAATTGCAAAATGCACTGAGGAAGATGCCGAAAATTTTTGTGCAACCTTTCCAGGTAACCTGAAAGATCCTACATCGAAACGAGTGGTGCCAAGAATTTACAGGACACCGCAAATTGTCTACTCGGAAGACAATGTTGACGCTGACCATTCCAGTGTCTGTCGCAGGCAATAAACGTTCCTTCAGCAAGTTAATGCTGGTAAAGAGTTATCTGCGATCGACAATGAAGGAAGATCGTTTTAACGATTTTAGCCAGCGCAGACGACATTTTGGACTGCCTTGATGTCGACAGTATGGCTATTGTATGGTGCATAAGTAAGACGAGAAAAACTAAAATTTAAAAGAATGATGCATGCAGCATGCACTGATCCATGAGAATTCTCACATTTAGTCTTTTTATTTTTAATAGACCTTGTCAATTATTCTCTTTTACCCAATGGCTTCGTTTCCATGTTAACTTATTTTAGCATTTCAGGGGCAAATGAAGATTATATTACCATGTTTTCCCTGGACGAATTTGTTTCTTGCTGTTCTTTGGCTCAATAACAAAGTAATTTTCAACCCTACTAAGCACAAAACATGAGTAAATATTTGACATGGAAACAGAGGCCATTGGGTAAATGAGAATAATCGGTAAGGTCTATGGTATAGATAGATGGAGTAGAGTGGCCTAGCTAGAGTGATTGACTGAACAATTTTCATGTTTTAACCAGTTACATCAATAGGGTACAGTCTAAGTTGATAATGTTTATTGTATATAGTAATACAGTACTATCAATTTATTATATATACAACCTAAACTTTGTACTACCTGGCTATATTCTTTTGCTATAGGTATGGTTCAAGTGCAACACAGATGTTACACCCCCCCCCCCCCCC